TTTTTAAAGTTTAGATATTTTCATTAATGTTGACACTAAATAGGCCTGTTTCTGTTTTTCCTCTTTTTCAAAAACACACGCACACACGTGCTCGCGCGTACACCCACACACACACACACGCACGGACGCAAACACACACATGCACGAACGGCCTACCAAAAGTATATTTATCTTAAGTAAAAATGAAACTTTTTCTCACATAGATCAAAGCTCAATTTATGACCTCGTCCGGACTCATTGAAAGGTCGGCCACGTTTGCATTAGAAGGTTACGTCTCCTCACACCTGCCGCGAAGTTGTGTTGCCATGGCGAGCGCGAGGGCCCTCGTGGCGGGTTGAAGAAGGCTGCCATTACCCTAATTGAAGCTTGAAAGATGGCAACAACTTGTTCGTCAGAGCGGCAGAAACTGTAATTTGGGTGCACCAGGTCGTGGAGATCTGGAGAAAAAATCTACTTATAATACCAACGAGTTTAGCCGTCACTTGAAAGACCCTCAGAAGATCGGGATTTACTTAAAAGCTTTTGGCTGAAAATATTCTCATTTGAGAAAGAGAAAAACAATTTTGGGGGAATTCAGAAGATTCCTGGCCGTTCTATCAGTTATTGCTGTGTATCTCGGTGGTATCTCAGTTCTAGGGTTTTACCTCAGCAGTGGTGTGGACTACAATCTCCGGGTGCCAAGCGTGCATGGCGTTCTCGTGTTTCCGTGATATTCTAATCAAGTTGTGGATAAACAGACTGTTAATATGAAAACAACCACATTAACTTGTGTATTCAGGTTGTCACTGCAGATACTGTGTCTACTTCTTCAGTGAGGATAGAAAGGGTAATAGTTCGTCATAATCCAAGAATGGCGGGGGGCGAGGAGAACGGTCGACTCACCTCTGGGGGACGAGACATGAATATTCTGGTCCTGGGAATGGACGGAGTCGGGAAAACAGGTAATTTTGGTGTTCTCTTACCTGCGCGAATTTTAGAAGTTAACATCTGTATTGCGTTGATGTTTTATGGATTAAGGTCGGTTTAAAAGAATAGAAGTCTATTGAAACTGACCGACTGACCACATGTTTTGAATGCAAGTACCTTCCAGGTAGCTGAAAACGAGATATCACACCATGGATTTGTCTAAATTTGTTATCAGCTTGTCGGAGGGAATGTAGCTGTCTGATAGCATATCGTAGGCAAACACGGTCTTGTTAAGTGGATACATACCAGGAGAAAAATCGCGATCATACAAAGTATTTTTATAAACTTTTTTAGACACAGTACAACATTTGGAGCCCAGATCTTGTTTTTACCCTCAGGCGTGAGAGAGAGCGGGAACAATTATTCTCTTGTGATTTCACACCGGCACAGTGTGAATGGCTGTTTGAATCGTGCTCAGTTAATAAAAGCTAAAATGTGGATCTTTTTTCGCTTTTTTTGCGATCATTAATATCTGCAAAACGAGGTTAAATGAACGTATTTGCTTTCTTAAGAGATGCACAGCGGGTTGGAGAATTCATTTGAGTTATGTCCATAATGCTTTGGCGGTTTTAACTGTTTCACATGTTTTGGTAATGTGGAATGCAGTTGGAGTTTCGCATACATCTGTACTTAGAGGTAAACTTGATGTATGATCCTAGAGGCTCGTCTCTGTGAACCTTCTACCGTTAAAGTGCGGAAAAACCAAAAAGAAGACATTACTACGGCCGTTTAATAATATACCACTATATCAAAGCATATAAAGACACTGATGAGCACCGTTTTAACTTTAAACCCACTCCAAAGAAAATAAATAGTTTGGTACGCTTACGTATGTTATACGCAGGTGTGATGGAATTATGTGTAATCGCTCCAAGATTTTGATATGTTTAAAAGTCAACAAAAATGTTGTATACCCACGTGTTGACAGAGTGAGTTATCTACGGCATCTCTGCTCAATCTGAGAGTTTGAAATTATTTCAGAGAATTATCCCATTTTGTAAAAACAACATCGCACTTGTTTCCACAGTGCAACCTTCCCACCTCATCTGTGTCCGGAGCATATAGAAGGCACGTGAAGGCACTTGGCTGGCTGTTTTGACACTGGAATACAATGGAACGCGCACTGAGCCCTCCACAGGTGAATGTTTTTGAACACACTGGATCCGTTAAGATATTTTTGTAAAAGAGAATAAATATAATAAACTGTTTTATTTTACACTGTTTCGGATGGCCCACACATGCACAGCGCGGAAAACGGTGTAAGTTCAGTTGTCTGTACAGGTGCCAGCTTTGGAAAATGCTCTTGAAAAACTGTTTGTTACACATTTATGTCAAATATAAAGATAAAGACGAGATATGAACCTAAACAGGTGCAGTGGATTATGTGTGAGGATGGGAATGATATCAAGGGCAAAAACAACCATATTTTGAAGAATTTAGCGACGGCCATTAATCGGAAACGTAGGTGGAAACCCTAAGGAGAACAATATGGCGAGAAGACCCAAGAATAAATTTCAGGTGTTTACATTTTATTCTCCGGGTTGCACTGTGCAGAACTTAGTGATTTAATGATTTGTTTGTTTCGTTTTTCATACACAAAAACTTATACCCTTTAAAGTTTTCGTATTTTTGCCCTGTTTCAAAAGTAACTTTTGTCCGGAGATTGGTCTAATTTTTAGAAAAAAACTGTTAAAAAAGATAATATGTGTAGTATATCTTTTAAAAGTATTGCTCTGAATAATTTGTCACGTCTTTTTTCTTTATTGTTATAAAACGGGCAAAATAATTAATTTCATTGGGCTTCTACTTTCGTGTATTAGATCAGAGTAGACTTTTAGTCTAAAAGTTTTAGTCTAAAAGTTTACACAAAAATTTAGCTTAAGTTATTAGTAAATCATGTTGTGCTTGGTCATATACAATCTGTACTTCAGTGTATATAATGGCCAAGGCCTACCAGCAATAACAGCAGCTGTCTATCGAGGATTTATTAGCATTTATCGGTAAATGAAAAGGGCGCTGATTCGATCCCCAGCTTTCCTCACGAACCGATCTAAACAGATGTTAGACGTTATATCGAGCTTTCACATTCCGTTGGTATCGTGCTCTCTTAGCACTCCTTGAAACATTCACCATCTTATGTCACGCTACCTGACCTCGAGTAAGGATTTTCTTATTACGTGGATTGAAACCTCAACTAAAATGATTTCTTTGAAGCATACCGCATAGTAGCTTTTTCTCTCTTTATTTGGGGCACTGCGAATGCAAATCATGGCTTGTATAATGTTCAACCCTGTGTTTTTCCAACAGAAGCCAACGCCATCAAAAGCAGGCGTGGTTCTATCTAACTTGTTTGCCAGCCTAAGGTAGCTCACAGGTTAAAAATAAAATGTTATCTTATATTTTGTTTTTCAGTCTGTTTCTTCCAACGTTGGCCTACAATACACGCATGCCGTATGTTCGTAAGCATACATGTTTGTACCCTTTCTAACGGTATACTGACTAGTCTTTTCTAATTTTGTTAAGATCTATAACTGCGTCATTCATTCCATGCAAGTCTCTGACTGATGAGCAGAAAATGCACATCAAAAATATTTTCACCGCCAGGTGTTTCGACCACCAGCTGGCCACTTTCAGAATTATAAACTAATAAATATTTTTAACATCAGATCCCCCAGAACGACTAATTTCCCAAGTTGTTTTATTTTTAAATGAGAAGAGTTCCCAATGAATTCCAAAAGGAAATAGCTCTTGCCAGCAAAGCAGGTCTTGAGATGTATCTCCCATTTTATGGCAGTGAAGGTCAATTTCTGCCCAGTACATTTTAGGCCTGCAGAGAGCATTAGGGTCTGCACACACTTGGGTTTACACGTGTTTTCACCGCGGCAAAGATGCTGTGATCATGAGGCGCTTATATTCAGTGTAGGTTTTGGAATGTTCTCCAAGCCTTAATAACGTACCTGCAATACGTGTCATTTAATTTTTCATCGGATGTCGAAATAACTAAACAGGCTGTCATTTAATGAAAAGTAGTATCACTCCCCTCTTTTTGAATTTTTATCGCTATTTGCGTACGCGTTAATTGGATCTAAAACTTCGGCAGTAAATTAAGTAGAAAGCTTTGCACTTAGTACTATCACAGCGGAACCAGTGTTTCTAAACAAACAAAAAGGAGAAATAGCATTTCGTCTGGCATCAGAAAGTAATCCTTACAACACGGTCCAAAAACCTGCCAAATATATCTTACTAACTGTGATCTGGCTGATTAGATCCTCTCTTATACAACTTAGCCGACTTGTTCGCCGATGTTTATCTCACTTTCAGCAGAGATAAATTGTTGGGTTGCGTTCCTTAGATTGCCAGTTTTTTAGACACCCGTAAGATCTATCTCCTCACAAGAGACAAACTCTTTGTTATTTACATCATAATCTTTATTAATGTTTCCTTATTTTTTGCAAAATTATCGCATAGTACAGAAAAGTGCTGAGAAAAAAACAGCGAGGATTAAAATCTACTGAAGATTTCATTTTTTGGCCCTGGTATAAGGTAAAAATCGAAGCATATCTCGGTACGACACAAAGCCACTGTATCCAACCTTAAGGGCCATTCCCACATATATTTGGATCGTTATATCTCCCTGGGGAGTCTCACTAAATTGCTATCAACCTTACCGGCTTAAATGTCTGTCATGCATAGTAAAGCTGTTAGGGGGTAAATATCTTTACCCTAGCTGATACGGTAGGTGTGACAGACATTTAAGCTGATTTTGATAAATACTTCAGGATGTGTCACAAACGGGCTAAGGGAGAAATGATTAGGTATTTTAATGATCCACGTCACAGACGTTATGTACAGGCTGTGCTCTGACCCCTGCTGCTCGGTGAGTGCTTTTATAATATTGGAAAGGTTTCCGTTTGATAAATCTCGCGGAATGAAATGCAAATCTATAACTTTATTATATTTTCATCCAAAAACGAATCAATTACCATTGCCTACCCTGGGTCCTAGTTGTAAAGAATGGCATAATGAACCACTTAACCGTTTCTTACATGACCAGCAGCCTTAAAACCAGCTAAAGGGGTATCCAGAAAAATAAGAAATGCATGGGACTGAAACGAGACTCGGGGTAACCGTTGAAACGCAGGGTGACGTGGCTCTGATGAGCTTCCTTCCTAACACAGTGTCCGATTCCCGTGGTGAAAGCAATTGAAAGCAAATGTGAAAGACGAAGAACATGAGTTATATCCATCGGTGTGATCTGCTCGGAAACACTGGGGGAGCAAAGTAGTATTATCAGACCGGAACGCTGTCAGAGCACTTACTGGTGCATCCAGACCAGCTGATAAACCTGGCTTGGTTTCAGTCTTAATGACGTCACCTGATAACCGTAATTATGTGGCCACTGGATAAAGTATAAACCCCAGCAGAAGACCGAGCGCTCTTGTCCTATCGCTACCTACTCTTCAACTCTCCTTAACACGAGTTAATTCAGCGGAGAGAGGAGCGGGATGGGGTCAGATGCAATATCCCACTAAGCATAGGCTGTTAAACCACGTGTAAATTAATTAGACATCTGTTGATGTCATAAAAACCAGAACCAGGTAAGGTTTCCAGATATCCACGTCTAGAAGCATCCTTTCCAGGCGAAGCTTTTAGCTGACTGTAATTACCCGGCAGGTTTCGCCAAACATTGCAACTACTTCGTGCTGCGAGGCGGCGGCATTTAACCCTCGGGTTAGTCTACAGTGGTTGCCTCGTGAAGGTGGCTTAGCACATCGCTAGTTCTAAAAATTCAATATACATGTACCTGTAGTTATGAAATAACACGGTGTTTTGAAATATAAGTGCTGCGAGGGAAGGCGGGGGGTTAATTATAAAATAAGTTCGTTGCGCTTGTATTTTTAGAGGGGGTTCTTGTTCCAAAATGCCGGTTAATTACGTAAACAGTTTTTAACATTTGATAAGAATAAAGTCTATCGTTTCATGGTAAATAAATAATCGAATGACAGAATTATAACATTCAAAGCAGAAGTGATTGTGATCGCAGGCGAAGAAGGAAACAAAATTCTGTTTTAATGAAAATGATTTCGTGTCTGATATAAAATCTTTGATCATTTTTTTGCCTATGTCTTTCATTTATGTATGACTTAAATAGAGAAAATTAAGACTTGACGTGAGATAAAATATTTTTCAGATTGACAACACACCGCTGTGAACAATTATCCTCCCCTTCAGCAGCAGGTCGACACTCAACCCCAATGTCATTAGACTTTAAAGATAAGAAAGTTTACGTTAAATGATCCAAATGCCCTAGCGTATAGCCTGTGTTTTGAGACGTGTTGAGCTGCCTGTTCATTCGAGACAAAATCCTTCTTTAGCTTAACCTTTTCAATTACTAGGGAAACTAGAGTTACCGAATCCTATATCATTTCTTAGCAGGAGAAGAGATGTTACCAGCAGCATAAACAACCCTGGGCAAAATATGTATCTAGCCACCACCTGTTATCTTTCTCTGTGCCTAGTCCGCTATAAGTAGACGCTACAGAGACAGGCCTGTGTTTTTCCCAATAGATGGACGCAGTTAGCATGTTTTCGCGCCTTGTTTGTCGTTCGTTTTACGCCAAACAGACCAAGCATTGCCCAACATTACGCTAACGTTAGTGTGTGTCAGATTGCAGTAGATATGGTCGTGAAAAGACTTGGATATGAAAGCAGACTACATGACATGTATGAGCACGGGCACCAGTTTAGTAATAGAACAACAGACGCCATTCGAAATGAGATTTAATGTCAGAAAAAGTTTAATGCTATAAGTATTACGCATTAAGAAAAAAGAAATATATTTCAAGCCGTTATATGAACAGTTTTCATAAAGATACGCTTAGCGTACAGAAGGCAAAAGTCATAGTAATGGTCACTTGCCCAACGTACATCTAGAAGAAATGAGATACATCTATTAGATGTTTTGAACCGCTTCCAAACCACTCAAGTGCCGTTTTGACCTGTCATAGCAGGATGTCGACTGAAGCTGAAAACAATTTGCCTGTTAGCTGTCATTCCCGTTGATCAAGACATCTGAAGCAGTTCGACCTTTAATTAGACAACATTAATCATTTTTTATCGCCTGCTGTACTGCTTATTAGTTTTAAGATAACAAATAAGACTTAACAATCTCATCGCAAAGCCGCACACGTGATATCGATATAACTGTTGTTTCGTGCTGCTATTTTTTTCTTTTTTATCTCAAGGTCGACTTTTAACAAGACGTATTATATTCACATTCTGGAACCCGTGTCAAAAACACAATTTAAGAGTTTACTTAACTTAGACGTTTTCGTGAAGTCAGCTATTTGATATTGATCTAACGTCGTGTGAACGATAAGCCCACCATGAATGTCTTTGATAGAATAAATCGGCTATTGTCACGACTAATAGTAAATATCATCGTCAAGATAACCACAATCTGCTCTTAAGGCTTTAGTTTAAAACAGAAAGACGAGGAGTTATGATAATTATTATCTATTTAGAAAATTACAACCCATCTAAAGGGTTTGGCCCAAGGCACGTGTTGAAATAAATTCTTCGTTCATTTGATTAATATTGTGGCACATTTTCTCCATATTTTCAAAACCGTGTTTTATGTTATGAAAATGATCCACGTGTTCTATAACTGTAGCACATAGGGTATGTACCTGGAAACGTTTGTTATCGCAATTAAGTATTACACGGTCACCATACAGGTACTGGTAAACATTAGTAATCTCACCTGTCACAGTCAGCGAGCACGTCGGCGTCTTCACGGATTTTAAAGATACTGAGGGTCCTTGAAACAAGCGTTGTCTCCATTAGATTCCAACAGGTCAGGATTTGCGTGACGTAAGCGTGTCAAAATTTAGGACGTTACTTGTCTGAGCAATGGAAACCGGTCCTTTATCAAATAGGTTACTTTCTAGTACATAATACCAAACATTAAATATAAATGTCGTATTGGCAACGCGTGACTTTAATATAACACCTCGCCAACTACGAGCTTTTTTATCTGTTTTTCCCCTATAATGTCTTATCAAGTTATACGGTAGACGATGAGTTTTCAAACATCACTAACTATATTTTGATAACAAACACATATTAACAAACTCGTTATAACAAACATGATTTGTTGCATTAGGTGCACGAATATCTCTCTGATGTAATACATGTATACAAAATATACAAGCTTCTGGACATAAAAACATTTACATTTAAATCACATATGCTAGAAACCTCGTTATCGTTTCCATCTATTCAAAAAGTAAATCAATTTACACCCATAATAACTTTTCATTCTGTCAGATATGTAGAATACCTCTTCTCTCAGTCTTAATTTATGCCAGTGATATCGAGCGCATTGAGTCTTAACGTGGGCACGGAGAGCATTTGTACTAATCTGAAAACATCATGTAAACTGATCCCACATTTTTCTCTTTCTAAGAGCCATAATCATCAAACCATGACCTATAGGGCTTTTCTAAAGTCTCATCAACTAATGTTCATGTACCAACAAGCGGGCGGACATTTTATCACCTTTCCTACAGTTATTCAGATAAAAAAACTTCCTTCGCTTGTAATCAGATTTCGTTTGATTCACTTTGCATATGACCAGATTTTATTTCTCTTTTTCTCAGCTCTGATAGTTCGTTACATTACGAAGAGATACATTGGGGACTACGACCCGTACTCGGAAGCAATGTACACCTCTAACTCCGTGATTGACGGCAAACCAGTAACCTTGCGGGTGATAGACACAGTCGGTTTGGTAAGGGCTAACACGAGTAATTTATATGGTCGGTTTGGTAAGGGCTAACACGAGTAATTGATATGGTCGGTTTGGTAAGGGTAATTATATGTCAATTATTAGGGTAAGTTTATAACCTCTGTGTGATAGGTTTGTTTATTGTTTTAGTGTCTGTGAAAGGTTAAGGTCTACTTGTAGATTATACCTTAAGCATGTCTTACTAAACACAACATGTGTAAAATGATTATTGATAAGTAATGGTGAGATAAATTATCCATTTTTAAATATTTCTACATGACTATTTACATATATTATTATTATTTTTACTGGATTTGCTCATAAGTTATTAAACTACAGATCGTTACCTGATCCCTGGGTCTATATACATTTACAAAGCAATAAATAAGTTATCTCCGTTGCAGGAGAAGAACAGCAAAAGGTCAGAGCAGATAACGTGGGCCGATGGGTTCGTGCTGGTTTTCTCTCTCACCTGCAGGAAAAGTTTTGAAGCCGTGAAAAGAATCAAAGAACACATCAATGAACTTAGGCAAGACACAAAGATACCCATGATACTTGTCGGAAATAAAGCGGATTTGTCTCACGCCCGCGCGGTCAACCCGGTAGAAACCCGAGGCCTTGCCACGGACTTGCAGTGCCCGATGTTTGAAACGTCTGCCAGTGATAACTACGGCAGTGTTGTGAACGCCTTTCACGCCCTCTATCGGGAGGTGCGGACAGTACTGAAGCAAAGAGAAAAAGTGAAAAAGGTGATGCAGAAGCCCGGTATTTCTAAGAAACTCCAAATTGCAAACGCTTTGAGGAATTTACGAGAGTTTCGAATCAGGACCTATACTGTTTGACGAGTATCTAGATTTTCTTATGTTGAATATAGTGTGGAAATGTTTGATATAAGGCACACTTTCAACGTGGGTTGAAAACTGAGCAGGCCAGGCGGGTTCGAGGTCTAGGCTTCAAACGACTTAACCAGCTTTTAAGATGACTTTTACCAACATGACATACATGTATTGGAGGCGAGGGTTCACTTTTGTGAAACAAGTCCACTGGTTCTGAATGGAAGCGTTTTAGAGGATACTGGTAGCATCAGGAATCATAATATTGGTATTTAATTTATTTGCATGTATTCGTTAGTTGAAAGGCAACACATTTGGTCTAAACGCATACATGTGGTCTATGGCATACATGTAGATGTTATCCATAGCAGAATCGAACTTCTAAGTACTTGATTCCATATTAAATTTCAAAGCCTAAATTCTTATATGCCCTATTAGCACAAGAACAGGAAAACGTCCTTCAGCAGAAAGTCATCCTCTTAAAGAAACGTCAAAACACGTCGGTTTTATGTTAGTCTTGACGGCTTGACTAAATGAGTGCTGAACCTTCAAGTAAGATTTCAAAGATTTTGTTTCTTGTACAATTTCAGCATCACTTCTGGAAAGAGCTCGTGACTGGAAACAAATACATGTATATTAGAGAGACAATGGCTGCACTTTTGACGATTATGGAGTGCTGATTGTTTCTATATATATTTTTTATAATTTTGAAATATAATTATATTTGTAATATTTTCATCTATGTATTTACATAAATATTCAAATAAATATCCTTAGATTGGTGCTTTAAATTTTGAAGTTTTGCTTGAGAAAAATTGTATAATGTGAAAACAATCAGTAGTACTGTGTAATGTTATTCTATATGCTTAGTTAGAAATCAGTATTAAAGATCATGTTGGAAAGGTAATTTCTCAGTGTAACTTCGTATTGAGTTAACTGCAAAACGTTTGTGATGTGTTAAATAATTGTTATGGTATTACGTGAAGCACAGACAAACACGAATAGAGTTGTAAATTTGCATGTGCCTATATTTTAAAATTCTTTTTTCTTTTTTTTTTTTTGCATTTTATTTATTATTTATCTACATTTTTCGGTAATGAGGGGAGAGTACTTATAAAGTAATTTTTATGTCATATCGTCCCAAGTATAGATATAATTATCACCATCTTTGATATTTTCTGATCTGCTAATTTATCCGTTATTATGTTAAATAGATGGTTGCTATAGTAACCTGTGTACATTAACTTTCCCAGTACTAGAATATACATGCAAAAAGTTAACGAACCTTGGAGTTGGGCCATCAAAAAACAGGGCGGCAAATTTATCACCTTGAGAGAGTTATGTCCTCTATACACGAGAGAAAATGACAGGTTTGTCTTAGGGACATCATGATCTCGCGCACGTTCATCTCATCATCACCTCACGCACGCATGCACACACAAACACACAGCGACATAATCACAATCTTATTCTCCAAAAACAACTGCAGATTAATTTCTATTAATCTTTAATTGAGGGTGTTTCAAACACAATTGAGGTCCTCCGACCAGCACTTCCTCGACTTTGTTAAATAACTATAGACTAACATCTGTCATTTTGTTTTGGACAAGCGGTGGAAGGTGAGGTTCTGTCTTAAAATTTGGCCTAGATACGCCCAGTGTCGCTTACAGCGTTTTTTTTCTTTTTTTAACAAGGTTCTTTTATCCAGAAAATGTCAGTCAGTACACTGCAGACCACACCACAAACGTCTTGAAATATTATACTTTCAAATAAGTTTGGATATGATAATTACAGCGTGCATTTTTTTTTTTGTAAAGGGAAACGAATACCATATTGACCGAGAAAGAGATATATATACATATCATATTAATTTCCATTTTATACGTTTACTTATAATAATGATAAACATTATTATTATTATTATTATTATTATTATTATCTTACAGTGTATCTCACAGATATCAAAATGGCAGGAAAGACCATTACTGAACTGCTCGCAAGATGATTAGAATCATTACTCTTTTCTTACTTTTCGGTTGCATGGAGTGAAAGTCACAAAAGCCAATATTCTAAATAATCACCGCAAACTATTACATGTGCCACGCTTTAAAGCTACATTTAAATTCATGTTTTGCCTCAAAGCCTTGCCAAATCCCACCACAGTTTAAAAAAGTGTAACTCAGAAAAATAACAAAGGGTATCCTGAAAAATGTTGTAAGAACGGATTTTCTGCTTTAATTTCAAGCCACCAACAACCCTCAACTGTCTTACTACCATATATGGGAGTAAGAGTGACGATTGTGCAGTGCTGCATAGTGTCACGTACTTCAGCCGACCTTAATGAACTGGAGGGCCAAAAAAGACGCTGTTTTAAAGATTTTTTTGTGGCTGAATGAGAGATAAACTTGTGGTTAATATGCCTAACTGGGAATCCACGTTCGCCTTATTTGTTTCGTTAATATAAACGACGAACGTGAAGCAACATTAGCAATATAAGTCAAACTCCAGTAACACTCCACCAGAGACCAGCAAATTCTCGCTGGACAGTACAGAAATGTGTACAAAATTTGCTGTAAATATCTCGTGAAATAACCCTCTCTGTGGGCCTGTGTTTCCCAGTGTCCGGTCATCACGGCTTAACGTTTCTCCGTTTACAGAATAAGTCTGTTAATAAGGCAGTGCCATGCGACTCTTAGACGGGGCGCAGAGCCTTTGATTGTGAAATATAAGTACATCTTGCACTTTGGGAAACAGTCCAAGTATGCATATCAAAATTTTGCCAAGTTACCTTTGAACGATTTCAATATAAATAATCCAAAGTACATCGCGTTATAAGAGAATCTATAAACGTTTAACGATGCACGTCCCTCTTGTTTTCCTCGGATGGAATGTTTTGCTGTCAAAGTAAAGGATATTAAAAATGACACGCGACATATTTATTCTAAATTTAATAGCCTCTTTTAAATTTAGATTTGAACGCTTTGTTATGCTTTACCTGAAACCGCGACAACAGGGGTGAAAGATGGCGTAAATAAACAGAACGTGAATCGATTTAACCTTTTCTCTTTAATCTTATCAAGTTCAAGGACTTAAAGCTGGCGTCACTTCTTGGTGTTTGTACATGTATTTATCTGTAGCTATACACAACAAATCTATGTAGATGTATTATTCATCAAAATAAACGTCTTCTGCATGATGATTTCAAATATTTTGCAAAACAAATATCTTGCAATGAAAATGTTTACTTGAGTTTCAGTTATTCCACAATCTTTATAATTACATTATGAAAACAAGACATTAATTTTGAGGGTTATTTCACCAGTAGATGAATAAAGAAGCATGTTCCGCCACATTTATCATTTGACATACAGGTGAATAAACCACATTTGTCCCATCGTTTTTTTTTCTTTTTGAAAAACGATAGTTAAATAGAAGCAGTTTCGGTGTGCCAATCTGAAAATAAATATATAATGGAACAGGTGTCAAACAAAAGGACACCCTCTAGAATGGAAAGAGTCGAGGAAGCATTCTCTGTGTGAATATTTGCAGGTTATGTCAAACAATGTGTTAATGATTATGAAAAAGCACATAGCGGTACTGGATGACACGTTTGAAACATGGTATTTTGGCCGATTCTTTACACAGAAATTGTATATTTTATGAGTCCTAAAAGTACGCAATATTACCACGCCTATGGTTTAATTACGTGTATATGCCTTGACACTGGTAACCATGACACTCAGATCAAGTTATTAATAAATAATGCATGAGCACGATTTGAAATTCAAAAACACACATCATTCCTGGGTCAAACAAGTCAGGAGAACCCGTATAAAACTCAGTGCAATGATACTCGTATCTTAATTACTGGTTAAGGTTGACCTTTGGACGTCCAGCAGTGATTAAACTAGGTTTGTTATAGCCGTAAAACTGCTACCGACCAACTTGACATCCAAATTGGATCTCCAAAATACTTTGTGGAACAGACATATCTCAACATACTCCGATGGCTGCAGCCAATGTCTGCCTTATGTGATTGAAATGTTATTTATCAAGACATCGTCTGTACAGAAATATAAATGATACAGAAATGTAAATGATATTTATTTCCATTCCAGCAGCATGGCAGGCCTCCAGGTTCTGGTCTTTGCGGCTTTATTGGGCTGTGCCTTGGCAGTGCCACCTATCGTTCCACCGTATGGATCAGCCCAGGCCCCTTCAGTGTATTCGTACCGGTGGTCCGTGAACCCGCCAGCATCGGCTTACAATAATCTGACTCAAGGTTTGTGTACTGCGTGTAATGTAATCTTAGAAACGGGTAGAATCTGCAATATATTCAAACATGTTGATGAAACAGGATTTCTCAATTTCTAAAATTGTTGTATAGAGTACGATGTCATGATTTTTTAATGATAGAGGCGTGTACACATTCATATTTACAGTACAACAATTAATTGTTTATTTTGTTATTCGATGTTATGATTTTAAATAAAGATTGTAAATTTTTGGTGTATTGTGTATAGAGTCAACATTTTCACCTTATAAACAAAGGCAAGATTATAATCTTATTGTCAAAGGAATACATGTAAATGTAGCAAAAATGTTTGACATAAATCATTCAACGTTTCGTGACAGTTGCTGAATATCAGTTTAATTATTTTTCAATATTTTATAATTGTAGCTGAGGCAGAAGGTAAGAATGGCGATCTATTTATCTTATCAAAACATTCCTAAGTAGAGGACTGGATAACAAATGTTTTTTCAGTGCCAAGACAAGCCCAATTGAATAATATCTTACGGTTTTAACAATTTGAAAAAGCATTCAACGTGGAAATTACAGCATAGGATTTCAATGTTCGCATCGGGGTGTCATCAACGAATGCATTAACTTAATACTTCATAATTCTGTACAAAATAGTGAGAAATATAGCGCGTTTTTCTATATTGTTTTCTAAATATTCAGTGTTTTGATCTTCCATAGCAATCTGTAAGGAGTGCAAGCCTCTTGGTAGTGGTCTTGGAGGCTTCTTTGCTGTCGAAGATGATCCAGTCCACTACATTCGCTGTGTTCCGCAGGGTGACGGCTGGCAGGTGTTTGTATTACACTGCTGTAATAACACCAATCATGGCGGCAGCAGCACGGTGTGGGACCAGGAGCTTTTGACGTGTGTTCATAACAATATTATTCCCAATTCGTACGCTTGTGGTAAGTAAATGAGTATCAATATAATTCATGTAGAAAAAAGTACAGAATGAGGCCACAATGTGACTAAAAGTTAATAGATTTTCATTCATTCTTTCCTTTTTTTCGTATTGCTAATCTATTGAAATTTGTAAAGAGTCCACAAACGGGTGATACTCTTGTGGAACTTCCTTGCTTTCCATATTTATTTCGATTTTACTTTTCAGAGGGGTTTAAAGATGTCGACCCACCTGTTCCGCCGCAGTATGTTCGTAAGTTCAACCACACATGACATGGTAGTAATATAGCTTTATTCAAATATTTTATTCTTTATGAATATGTATTTCTTTTGACTTCATTGACCTTGGTTGGTGTGGGATGTTTTGAGGACGCTTTATGCGTCCAAGGTATTGCAACTGTTTTCTGTGTGAATAACACAGCTGTAATTTAGAACTTCTTTAAGAACGTTATTATAACGTTACCATTTATCTAACCGTAAAACGTTCTGGTAGCGTTTTGTGTTTGCTAGGCCCAGTATTATTTGCCGTTTCTTTCAGCATTCTGGCCGCTGCAGTGGACCCCCAAACTGGACAGTCTGGTAGAGGACAGAGACTACGGTAAACCAGGGGGCGTTGCCGCCCGCGTGTACACGGGAGTTTATGACCACGGCCACGTGACGAAGGGCAGCCTCTTTGTGCAAGCCACTCAGGAGACCGTCCCAACAATCGTATTTGATGGCCAAAAAGTTGATGACACCTACGCCCACATTGAAGTCCCTTTCTTCGAGAACGCGGACTGGAGTCAGTACAGCCCCGGGTTCAGTTTCACTTTCGGTTTCTGCATTGATGCCAATACTCCACTTGACGCCGCATTGATAACCAACGCCGACTGTAACTTTACAGCGTCTGTTGAGATCTCACTCCAGCCGAACCCGAATCCGATACCAGGCCAGAGTGCATATCTTCTGCAGGCACTGATACGTAGCAAAGGAAACAGTCCGGATACTATATCCACCGTTTTGCCCTTCTTCCAGGTAAGTGTGCGATAACATAATTACTGAGGCGACATTCACTTAATCACGTCTACCTGTAATTTTATCATTATCACACATTTTCGCATTGTTTGAGGCATTGATCAAATTTCTAAATACCAAAATCGAACGTATCAGTAGAGGTTAAAACTCCGTCGAGATGTCATAATCACATGGAAATTATATTCTGTGAGAAAGAAAATGCTCTGGGCATTAGTATGAACGATGAGTTATTGTTATTAGAACTTCACTGTAGAGTGCACTCATGTATAAGAACATTCACATGCACAAGTTGTTAATGTAAAATATTTCCCAAGCGAGATCGACGTTTGATTGTCGATGTCGAATTTCCAGTTTCGTTCTTGCTTCCCATCTGATGAACTAAATACATAAAATTGACCTAAGGGCAGGCAGGGATTATAAATTAAACTGTAGCATCCGGCAATACAACGAAATATACCTATATTGTTAAACATCTTTCCTTTGTTTTTAGCCCCCTCTCTGTTACTTCGCCGGCTTCTCCTACACCCAGGCCGGGAACAAGATGTTGTTGTGGATGAATGGCAACGAGGTCATAGGGGCGGCCCAAGGTAATATCCAGTGAGAGTATGGAAAGTACGGCACCTTCACCTGGGCGCAACTGAAGGGGGCGCCACTGATGGCTTTTTATAATTTATTGATTTTTAAAAGATTTGCGAGTTTGGCTTATATTTTTTAGCTGTTGTTATGGTTAAAATGTCTAATAATGGATGTCAGGTGATTAGACGGTGCAATTTTAGTGCTAGGCAGAGGCCATTTTGTGGAATTTTTACGTTCAATTGTTTTAATTTTGTAAACATATTTCCTAATTATCATTCTTTTCAATTTCTTTGTAGGGCCACCTAGACGTATCAACCAGAACCCATTGTTTATCGGGTACAGTTGCTATGGTTACCCAGACCAACAGCCGCCGCGTGCTCTTCATGGATCCATGTCGTCTGTAAGTTTCACCCCTCTTCGTTATATTTGATATGTTCTCTTTCCACACACCAATGCTTTTTATTAATTTATGTGGAATGCCGTTGTATGTCTATGTATGGCCACCTTCAGTAAGTATTTTTATGAATTTATAGCCCACTGAAACCTTTGTTCTTCATTCCAGATAAAGATTTGGGGAGACCAAGCACTGGATGCCGCGCAAATTGAGCAAGAATGCGTCGACGCGAATTTCTGTATATTATCGCCATAAACTGACATCATGGGTGAGATATTAAAAAGAACGAGCTCGTCTTATCTCTGAGATTGGTCGATTTTATATCTACCTCTTAAAGGATATCTGCCGTACATTTACCTCTAGGTTTATCTTGACTCTATGTCAGGAATAAAGGAAAGTTTGAATTTCCACTGTGTTTGTTGTGCCGTCAATTGTGTTAGTTGTGCCAAGGATACATTGCACCCACATAAATGTGTTGCGTTCTCTAGTTATGGTTAAAATGAATTTTTATGTTTGGTAAAATTATTCAATGTATCAATATCTGCTCTGCGCTACAAGTAAAAAATTAAGAAACCATGTTTTGGAAATATCCAAACATTTAAGATCAAGCAGAGAGGCAATATAGTCTAAATGATCGACTTAAGTTTCTCACTCTCGTTTTAAATATTAATCTCTCTCTCTCTCTCTCTCTCTCTCTCTCTCTCCAATCTTTACCATATCTAATCTTCAAGCACTCAGTCTCGAAAGTTTGAAAATCTATTTCGTGAAGTATTTATTTTGTTCTCCTATCGGGCGAAGAATTTTCTGTCAAAACTGCCAAAACATGATGAAAAACGTCATTTCCTATAAAAGGAATATGGCACAGGAAATGTCATCTTTCGTAATTTAAAAGGTCAGTTTTACAAAGACGTCTAATTGAATTTTTTCCAGTGTTTTCTGTAAAACGGAAAGAAGTGCATTTCTCTTTCATAACAGAAAAGTTTTTCCGTTCAAAATACCCAGTATGTTATTTCACGTTTAAAGTCTATGAAAATTAGATTATAAGTAATAACGCAATATACATTACCTTAAGAGCTTCAATCGAGGGCCCTGGATTAAACCCACAAGTGAGTCGAAAAAGACTTAAGTAACCATTTTACCTTTCATAAAACAAACAAAATCTACCTAGATGGTGTAAATTATGTAGATGTAACACATGTATTTCAGTAGGGACTCTATAAAGGGAATTTCTATACCTTTGTTATATTGCTAGAAAACGTTTTCATTGACAAAACAAAAACTAACATTTTACGGAAAATAAGTTAAAATCTTAATGTTCTATCCATCTGAGCGTATACAGACACTGTAATTTATATATATTCTGTTATGATGCACGATAACAGATTATTCAAAACAGCAGCTAAATATCAGAGTTATTTCCATTTGAGTATTTCAGTGTCACTCAGGACACTTAATATATTCAGATTTCCTTTGGCAAGTTATGATTTTATATTTGGTCTCATTTGACGATTCTTGACATGCAACCTTTGCTTCATAGGAGGTAGAAGAAAATGTTCAGTTAGTATTTTGGACAGATAATGACGCAAAAGTGTAGTAGACCAAGGCCACTGGTCGTAGATTCCTGCCTATTTACGGTAACGGTAACGCATGCGATTACTTTTCCACATATAATGACGCGCATGCGTTACCGGAAATAGACGTGTTAACCGCGCATGCGTGACATAACCTATACAAGATGAATGCTCACCCATGTCATTGGTCCATGCTGTCATCTTCCGGGATTGGAGTCACAAAAGATTAAAGTTATAAACGTGTTATCTATATATATCTTTAAGGCGTTGGTTGGTTTACATCGCTGAAGTATGAAAAATGTTTTTCAGTCGCAAATTTCATACTTAATATATGCAAAAATTATAGATAAATCTGTGTTCAGAGGTGTTGCATTTTAAGTGCGTATGCCATATTTTGATATAGGGGCTTAATATCCTTGTCACCATATTTTGTCTGTTGCTGACAAGGGAAAGGTGCACTTAAAATTTGTAGGTAGAATTGGTCCTCTATAATTGGTTTGAAACAAAATGTCAAATAAGATTCCCCAGTGATAGGGTTTGCAAGTACCGGTATCAACCAGATTTTCCCAAATTTATATTATATTGATAAGGACACCCTTCACATTTAAGGTAGAACCGCAGGTTGGAGATTTATCATAAATTAAAGGTCTTAGCTTTTTTCTCCTGTTGTCTTCATTTAATGTCCATGTATCTTCAAAACATCTAATAATGCTTGAAACACAGCTCCAAGTTCATACCTCGACGTAATATTGAGATTTTAGGGGCAAAAACATAATTTTTGGTTTCCTGATTTTCTCAGGCGGCTGGACAGCGATAAACATGTTTTTGATGGTATTTAAACACTTGAACAATTTAAGTACTACAAAAGGGGTTCGGGTTTTTTCTGTAAAGACTTCCTGTTGATTTTATGTATAAAAACGTGATTTTCAGCCCTATTTGGTTACAGCTCCCCCCCCCCCCTTAAACACTGGCAATACCAGATGCAGTTCGTGATGAATCAAAACAGAAATTGGTTTTTCATTTTCCGTTGTTAAAAAAGGCAACTATACGAGCCAAAGACTGGGTGGCTTTATTTCACCAGGCCGGTTTAAGTGTTTTATTATTATTATTTTTCTGTCTTCCTTATCTCACATTAAAAGGCGTAGCCGGTACAAATAAATAAATACACCGATTACACAACGCCACGATCAAATGGACCAAGTTCTTAACGGACAAGGATAAATATGTCAATTGAAAACCCTTGGCGTGCTACCCCCAGTAACTTAAAGGGTGGAATAACTTATGTCTTAAAAGGCGTCGTAAATATGGTGAATAATAAATTCCATGATTTAAAGTGCTTCTTCAGGTTGTTCGTACCCATGTATTTATGAAGTTGTTTGTCGGAATAATTTTACTAAGCGTCCTCCTGCTCATCTTTAATCATGATTATTTTAAAGTGTAATCACATCTCCATAACATATTCATAGTGCAGTAATAATGCCAGCATTCATTAGGACATGATTCATGACAGGCAGGTTGTATGTACACTATAGCTAATAAGTCCCCGGTCACTTTAATAGCCCACGCGGTCTACATCAGACGCGCTAATGCGCACGTCCCCGACAGTGTTAATGATAGGGGGATTACGATGGACAGCGCATGTTGCTCACAGCAGTAGGCACTGCCGCCGAAGTTAAACCGGTAATTAAGTCTTTAACTTGACTAAACATGTTTTGCTTTGTAACTTGCGTCCTTCAGTCTTGCTGTTGCGGAAGCGCCGGCGGGACATATCTCCACCTTGCCGATATTTATCCCGACTCTCGACTTTAAAAGTATTATTGGTTTTGATTTTATCAAAGTCTTATTATATCAGAAAACCTGCATATTTTCATACGTTAAGAGAATTATAGAAACTGTAGAAAAAGCTACTCGTACATCAGGGATAAAAAACAACACCTTGCAGCACTATTACCTATTATTCATCACCAGAAGTTACTGTTTCACTTTTTTCTCCCAAATTACAAAGTCTGATGACAACTGAAAGCCTTTAGCCATACCTCAGGGCAGTGGGAGATAGTCTGGATTTGATTAAATGTAATAAAAGTATATTTT